AATCAGTTTTTAGACCCTCAGATCCAACTGAAAGATCAGTTTAAATGAAATTAATTCAAGTAGACATTAGCATAGACCACTTATACAAAGATATTTTAATTCATGACTCCTGATATATATTAACTCACACAGTATTCTTCTTTTGGCCTTATCTATATTAGTACTTGAAATCAGAATCAAGTCCTAGTATTTCTGACCAGACGTATAATAATGCTACTATAAATAAGAAAAATAATGCAATAATATTATAACTTCCTTATGATTAAGCCAATCTTTCTCTCTCTAACTTCATCTACCATTCACTACTCACATAAAAAATGTAGGTTATTACAGAAAAAAATAAACAGTAGTAAGTCTTGCCTTTGGGCATAGATATACTAATAATCCATTTTAAAAAGTGATTTAAAGCCTTAGGAGAGCTCTCTGAGCCTGGCTGTCCCACACTACTCCTGGAGGCGAGGCCCTGAGTCAGTCTGGTGGGCGGCCACAGCAGAGTAAACCTTGGGTTCACACAGCAGTTCATCCACACATGGACTTGGGTTAATGCTCTGACAGTTTCTCATTTCCATGGGACATAAACAGCACCCAGGTTTCCAAAATTCCACATCTTCCTAATAGAGGAATAGGCAAAAAGCTAAATGGAATGACTGGGACAGGTGCACCAGTGAAGCTGAGAACCCACAGCAGACGTCCTGAGCCAGGATTCATGACATAGACAGAGCAGACCTAAGCAGGCCTGTAATTCCCTGAAGAGCCAAGATGCAGCCGGGTCAGTAGGGAGGGTCAGCAGGCCCTGTCCAGCCTAGACAGAATAGTGACCTCAAATTGCACTGGTCCTGGTGGCCAGCAGCAGAGTAAACAGTAACCATCCACATCAGAGACCAAGACAGACCAGAGAGAAGCAGGAAGGTAATGAGTGCAGATCAAAGCTTCCCTTTCCGGTGCTGGGAGGCCTCCTCAGTCATACGAGAGAAAAAAGATGAGACTATGAAGGGCTGGCCATTGCCTTGAAGGGAAGGATCCACCAAAAGAGTTTATTTAAATTATTGACTAAGTCCAAAGCTGCTCTTTAAAAGAAAACCACACTTCACAATTTCATGTATGTAATTACACCTTGACGTAAGGCCCCAGGTAATATAATTAAAGATTTTGGGCCATTAACATTTTTTTCTGAAAAGATGAGTGAAATATACATAATTTTTATACACTAGTTCCCATAAACTTGCAAGGAAGAAACAAAAGCTCTTGGGCAAAGATCTTGCAGGTTAGGGGAAAAAAAAAAGCCATGTTTCAAAAAACCTACTGGACAAAAACTATTTTCAGAATAACAAAATAAAGAACTTGAAATGGATGAAAGTTCTCCTATAATATTATAATTTATTCATAGTTTATAACACTTGGGCCTAAATACAGGCCACTGTCAAATTCTTCATTAAATATGTTGGTTAGAAGAAATTATGTTTCAACAGGTAGTTAAGAAATTATGTTTCCTCATTAAAGTGACATATTTGGTTCATTACAGAAATTCAAATTTGCTCACTAATCTTATGATACTTGACATGTTGAGATTGTTTTGCAGATGCTTTTACAGCCATCTTCAGCCTTATAATCTTGGATACATGCCCTTGGTAGTCTCCATTATCTCTGGATTTTCCTAAATTCAGGTTGAACAAATAGAACTAATTGGTTTTATAGTTGATTCACTAATAAAAAAACACACACTAAAAACTTGTTTTACCGTCTATCTGCTCAGCTGGATTGGACTCCTGTGGAAGAGAAGAGCACTTCCAGATTTTCAAGCTACATTTTCACATTTTCTTTACCCTATCTGGCAGTGGAGCTTGTATTATTTGCAACACTCTTAG